AAATTTGATTGGCTGTTTATAGTAGATCCAATCTGATTGGTGTGACATACATACATCTCTCACTCACTCAATCACCCATTGACCCGTAACATACCCTACGCGCCGACTAAGAGGTATTTTTTTTCACAGAAAAATAACTCAAAAACGGTGGAGACTGGTGCATTTACCAACAATTCTTAGCGCACGGAAACCTTGATAACGCTCATAAAATCGTAAAGAAAAGTTCTAAAACGTTCAAACCAAATGTTGCAAAAAAATATGGCTTTCCTTGTACTTTGTTGGCCGTGGGAACGTTTGCGTAGTATTGTGGTAGAATGTACAGCCGCCATCGTTTTTTCCTAGCTGCGTAGCCGGATTGTGCGAACAATTTATCCCAATGTGGATATTCATCAAACGTCTTCAATGATGTTTTACAGCTGAATGATGAAAAGTTGCTCAACGTTAATAGCGAAACCTCGGTGGGTTTTATAATCTGCAGACTGTAGAACGCCAATAAAGGAAGGAAATAAATACCTCATTGTTCACAGCTGCGGGACAATGCTTACCAGTTCAACATATTCAAAATGGAAATTTTGATAGGTTTGAAAAATAGCAATAACTTATGTTTTGTTTTGAATCTTTAAATTGGTGCTTTCGTCCATATTTTCTTCATATCAAATTACCGTTTTTATGTTGACGTGTAGTCCAGGATCCTGAAAGGCATTTTCACTAAGGAAAAGGAAAAGGAAAAACATAAAGAATTCAATTATATCGTTATCGCTTAGCGTTGATAAACGAAACTCCTGTGGTTTCCATAAACTGCAAAGTGTTGAATTGCTTATAAAGAAAGGAAGTTAAAGTTTCTGTCGTTACAACTGCTGGACAATGGCTACCAGTTCAACATATTTAAATGGAAATGCTATTACATTTTTAAATAATACTATTAATTTATATTTTAACGTTCAGTTCCCGATGTGCTTTAAGAATAAATATCATCCCTTAAGGTCTAGTTCTTTTTTAATAGCCCTTTTCACGGGTAATTTATCTCATTTGCATTACAATGTAATCCAACGTGGATGCTGCGAAGCAATTTCAGGCTAAAACTGCAAAATAGCCCGAAGTTGCTTCACAGACATGCTAGATTTTATTGTAATGCAAATGAGCAAACTTAACCTT